TTTCTTGTAGAAAGCCTGGAAACACACTTTGTTTTGATTCAGCATAGGTACCCCAAGCTCACGAGTGGCTACAATGTCTATGAAGCATTTCAAATTAGAGAATTTTATTCCATTAAAACAGAAGCATGAGATATAGTGAATTCTAGTTATAACTTTTAATTAAATACTATCCGTTTACTTGGTTATTTTAAATATAATTAAATTTATAATTGTAATAGTTTAAAAGCAATACAATTTCTGTATACAGCTATTTCAAAAAACGCTGTCAGAAGAAAAGCAAAAAGTCTCAAAGCCAAGACCGAAAAGTAATAATGACCTGCTTCAGGACCCATAGGAGTTTTGCGGCCACTCAAGTATGTCCCTGAGAACAGTATGGAACGTGGTTCTGTAAGTGAGAGTACTAAACGTTGGACAACTCTTAAAACAGAGTTGGTTGGAGGGCCTTCAAACAGGAGGGAGCTTAAGCTAATGCAATGGCGACAAAAGAGACCGTGAACAACAAAAGGCTTAAATTAACAAAACAACAACTTAATTTACACGTGCATCACACTTTTTTGTCCATGGCCGTTGTTTCCCGACTACGGCTTCAAATGTCTCATGTTTTATAGGGCAAGTGAACAGCAGACCGCAATTTTCGTTTCTTTTTTTTTCTTTTTTTTTTTTTTTAACTCAAAACTAGTCCTTTAGAATTCATTTCCAGAGAAATCGCCATCGATTAAAACATTGAACGAGGTGGAATAAAGGCGATGTGGCTAACATGCTGGTGTAGTGCAAAATATTACCTGAAGTAGACGTTGGCGAGCTTTAATTGATTATTGAGTAGGAACCATTATTCGGAAAAAAATTTGTTTATAATATTTTTTTGGCCCTCTTCGTTACTATGTTATGCAAATTGATAAAATGTAAAATTCAATGTCATTTATCCTTGCTAATTAGCTGAACAAAATTGCTTTCAAAGATGGGAATAAGCAAGAGTGCACTTCCGACTGAAACGTAATTTTACCTTAATTGCTATTGTGCTTTTTTTTAAACTAAAATGATAAGTATGGTTCAAATGAATCAGCAACGAGTTTAGTGGAGTGATTGTTTGCGAGCAAAAGACGGATTTGAAACAACCCACATTACCCTGCGGTCTTGTCTTGAAGACTTTTTGCTTTTCTTCGGACATAGCTGTATGGGAATGCTTATAAATTGTTATGTCATGTTATTATTTAACGGGGGATTGACACAGACAAAGCAAACTACCGCCCTGTCTCAATATTAACTTCGCTATCGAAAGTATTTGAGAAAGTTATTTACGACGAAACTTGGAATGCATTTTATAGCGTTTTGTCCTCAAACTTATCTGGATTTACGAAAACTCACTCTTGCTGCACTGCATTGCTAATAATGACGGAAGATTGGAGGAACAGTATTGATAACAAGAAAGCTGTAGCGGCGGTCGCTGTGGACTTGAGCAAAGCGTTTGATGCCATAAACCACAGCCTTCTGCTCGCGAAGTTGAAGGCCTATGGCTTTTCTCCACATGCCTTGGAACTGATGTCCACCTACCCGCTAGGTCGTCAACAATGTGTCAGATTAGAAGGCGTATGCTCTAACTTCAAAACAGTTAAATCTGGCGTTCTTCAAGGTTCAATATTGGGGCCGTTGCTGTTCAACATATTCATTAATGACTTGAATTTCTGTGTTCCTAATGTCTCATTGCGGCTGTACGCTGATGACACGACTGCCTACCTGTCTGATGTATCTCCCACCATTCTAGAATTTTCCTTCAACAAAGACCTTCAGACTCTTTCGTCGTGGTTTGAGTCTAACCATTTAACGGTGAACAGTACTAAGACTCAAGCATTATCTGTCGGACCCTGTGCCTATCATTATTCTTTATTTCTTAATAATTCTAGAATAGAATTTCTCCGATCTATTAAGATTCTCGGAGTTACTCTAGACAAGGACCTATCCTATAAAGAACACATATCAGATTAACTAAAGAAAGCCTACGCGAAGGCCTCTGCACTGAGAAGAATAAGGCATTTTCTTCCTCATGAGGCAATGATAAAACTTTTTATTATATAGACGCGAGTGTTTTACTGGAAAATGTACCACTCGTAAAATTCATAAAAACTACATCCGGGACCCGAGTGGTTTATTTTCCATAATCTCACACGTGAGTTTATCGATGAGGTAATTTCGGTAATTTCCCTCTGAAATTTGTGGGCGTCTTGGGTCTTTTGAATTTTACTTACACATTTTTTCAAAGTTTTGCTTATATTTTGTCATTGTAGAGCCCTATTCCGTTCAGTGTTATTTCTCAAAATTATTTTAAACAACGTCTTATATTACTGTACTGTAAATTTGAGTCATCACAATTACTAATCTATTATTTTATCAATGTCTTTTTGTCTATATAATAAAAAGAACATTACACGGCGGCTTGAAGATATGAATTTTATTTTCTCGTGGCAAAAACAATATTTTACTCACTCGCTGCGCTCGTTTGTAAAATATTGTTTTGCCACTCGAAAATAAAATTCATATCTTCGCGCCACCGTGTAATATCCTCTATATAAAGCATTTATATTACCTCATCTCGAATACTGCAGTTCTTTGTTTGTAGGCATAGGTACGGGTCAACGCAACCGTCTCGAAGATGGCAACTGTTATATTTTGAGAACATTGATCGCGCACAACAAGTCAATGTCATACGACGAGCTGCTCACTACGGCTAGCATGAAATCCTTATATTGTAGGCGCTTACACCAGGCGTTAATACTTCTTTTTAAATGCTTAAATGGTACGGGACCTACTTATATTGGAAGCCTTTTTAAATACAGGTATACACCGTATAGGCTAAGAGTCGAGGGTTTGAATTTGGAATTACCTAACTTCAATCTTAAATTTAAGAAGAATTCTTTCACTTATTCATTAACTAAGTTATGGAACAGTTTGCCTTCTCAAGTGCGTCTTTCAAGTGATGCTAATGACTTCAGAAGTAAATTGCACGACTGTAGCTTTTTAGAACGTCTCTTATAGTGCACAATTGTAGCTTTTAACTATTTTTAGAACGAGTATTATAGTTTTCCTAGTCGTTTTTAGTATGAGGCTTTTTAGTCGGTTTTAGCTTTTTATATTTTATGTTTTTATTACCAAGTTTTTTATATGTATATATTTATTGAGTTGTTTTTAAAATTGAATAATATTATATAGCTGTAATTATTATAGATTTTATTTATACACGTTCGTATTTTGAACGAGTTTTTTAGCTCTTTGACGTAACGTGTTAAAATAAATGATTGATTGATTGATTGATTGCTGTGTTATTGTGTAACAGAAAAGTTATAAGGGTTTCTATGGGGATTTTAGCGATCGTTATTTACAGGGCACTAAAATGGAAATAAAAATACATCAAAACTCCTTACCTTGCCTCCTTGTCTTATTCATGGTATGTTATTAGTATTTCTGTCTTTTCGGCGCGATTCTGGCGAGTTTTAGTTATAGAGAGCAACGGCAGAACAGGTAACCATGAATCACGCACCGGTCTACTGCAGCTTAGTGGTCACTGATCGAGTGGTCGATCATCGGAAATAGTAATGTCTGTTTGGAATCGTTTTTTTTTTTTCCTTTTCAGAGTCACCTGTATCCCTGACTGAGAAAACATCATCATGTTAATCTCGCTTAACATTCACAGTCACAATTTGTATCATTGTATCTATTTTCCTATACTAGCAGTATAGATACAGGATAACTTTGCCACACGAATCTCAATAGTTTAATGGGCTTATAACTAACTTCACGGGTTTTCTAGCTCAGCGGTAAGGCATCTGGACTTGCAACCAGAAAGATATAAGTTCGACCTGTTAATTTTTGCAAGTGCAGTCGCCTGTGCATGTGTCATTCTTAGAGATTCACTACTTGTTTCACTGGTCAAAAAAATGCTTCTCACCATCTTTAATTTACAAATGATTTGAACAACTTCAAGACAGGATTTCAAATTGACAAAGTACTACAAGTACCATCCTCAAGCAAACAAAAACAATTTGTATGAAATGTCACAGGGTCCAGAGGAGTTCTGTTTGTCGTGGGGACATCCAAAACTCTCTTAAAACCCCATTGACGATGGTTATTTCGATCACGTAGTCATTGTCTTACATTTCCGTTCTTTACGCACAACATATATCCCACAAACCTAAAGGACTGAAGACGCCAAGATCGGTTAACGTTTTACAGTGTAAAAACCGGAAAGGGAGGAAACAAATTTGGGGCCATTCTGCGAATCCCTATAGCCCTGACGGAATTCACTGAATTCAATAAAATAGCCTGATTTTAACTACCAGATTTAGATTTTTTTGTATGTGCCAAATGCTCTGTAAAGTGTTCTAAAAAGTGCACTCAACATTCATTTTCGTCGACCAAAATTTACAGCTTCGAGAGAGCGCTTTCGTGCGATGTGCAGCGCTACAACTGGTGAGGAAATGCTTTGGCAGCAAATTCTCCTTGAAGTCAATGATTACAGACGTGTCAAAGGTAGGGGAGGGAGGATGGCGAATCCTCTTGTTCACACTTCTGCATACACCATTGGCCTTGGGAAAAAAAGAACTGAATGCCTAATACATGACAGATACAGTAACCGAATTTGAAGAAACGAGAGTTGGTAATGATGTGATTAAAGGGCAACTTTTTTCGTTAACAGAGATAGGGGTAAATTACCATCGCGCAAGGTATTTCGGGCTGCAATCAGTTTACTTTTAAAAGCAAGAAATAGTCGCAAGAAATGGCAAGGAAAAGACGTTATCGAATTTCCATTTTTAATTAAAGGCCCTAGAATGTCATAAGCTTTAAAAAAATACCCTGCAAAATCACATTTGATGCTTATTACCTTACTAATCTTTGTATTAAATTAGCACTGACAAGCTCAGCATTAATTAATTTGAGTACTTGGTGTAAAATTCACTAATCAAACTAAAATAGTTGCCTATGAATACGTCCTGTTGTGTTCCCTGATTTCAGTTTTCGTGCACAGTATTATTAATCCAGTCGATGAATGGGTACACCCTAGTGTAGTATCCATAGTGATTCTTTTGAGCACACCCCTCCCCCCAGCTGATTAAGCCAGTAGCAACCCACCGATGGCCATCTCCCCTCTTTACTTCACGAACAAAGGCTCCTCCACTGTCGCCAAAACAAGTGTCATTTCCTCCTTTTCCGTCCCCTGCACAAAAAGTCACATTCAATTTAACGATTTTCTTTGTTGCGGTTAAACACAATCTGTCCTGTTGTATTTCGAACGCGGAATATTTAAGAACTTTCGAGTGGTCGTAATTTCTCTCCCCTTCGGAAGGTTTTGTCGAACCCCATCCAGATGCAAAACCATATTTCGTTGGAATCGCCAAGTCTCCTTCCTCGCTTTTTGGTAGACAAACAGTTCGAACAAAATCGCCAAGTTCAACGGGTTGTTTAAGTTTGACGAGGGCAATGTCGCTCTCGTATGTTTCTTTGCTGTAGCCATGATGAACAAAAACCTTTTCTATGGACACTTCTTGTTCTGAGCCTTCCTTCTTGACCAAGTGGTAATCGCCAGCTTTTATTCGGTACCTAGGGAGCAACAGTTACCTTTGAAATGAATATATACTTATCCTTGTTCAGCCCACGGGCAACATTCAAGATAGCCATTCTGCCCTACAATGAGCTACTTCTGGTCAGCCAATTTGATTGGCGTCATGATCACTGCTGATAGATGCATGGGGAAACTTAAATATTCTAACGCCTGCTGTGTTTAAGCCAAATTGTAGTAACCTAGATTACTTTAAAATAGAACAATATTAACGATAAGTGCGTTCGAGCAAGAAGAAGGCAATTTTGAACTTAGCGGAAAATTTCAGGAGTTTCTGTTTCGACACACATTTGCCTTGCTTTTAGTATAAGCCTCCCTTACGCCCGGTAATCATGTGGTGAAATTTCTTCATATTTTCGCTTTCGCCCTTGTCAGCTCGTGGTGGATCTTATTTATTCATTTATCTCTTTCTTTCTTTCTCTCTTTATTTATTTTCTTTCCTTTTTTTTTTCTTTTTTCTCCTTTACCCTTATTAAGTAAAAGCGATGGTAAGGAAATAGCGAGCACAAAATTGCATGAATTGTTGCGTCTTAAATATTCCCATGCAATGTGCGTGCGCGCGTATAAATGCACTATTATTCGATTTTCTAATTGCAACGCTTTAACTACACACTATACGGGATAGCTTTTGCCACGGCATGAAAACCATACCGCATAGGGCTTCTCTTTACACGTAAAAGCGGCAATTTTCGGCACCGCTGTAACGAAGAGACGCAGCATCGCCCAGATCTCAAAATTGGAGGGTCACATATCGGATAGGGGCTCATACCCTACCGGTATAGTATGAACATAGCCTAAGATCTGCCATTACCTCCAGTAAGATATAAAATAACTGGATGAGGTTAAGATGTTAAGTTATCAAATTGTTGGATGAGGTTTAGCATGATAGAACGAACAATAAAATATGGGGTTTGTAGGTCTCAATGTCATGCGAAACCAAATTATGCAATACTTGTTATATTATACACACACATTACCCTCTGTTAACCAAAAAGCATACAAGAAACAAACGCTAAGACACATCAACTTGCTCACAATGTTTCCAATGTTTAAAGCGCTTGTCAAATTTTGTATCTTGTTAACGTTTCAGACCAATCTTACGCCTTATTTTTCCAAATCTCATTGAGAATTCCCCCAGGGTTTTGCAAAATACTTTATGTCTTTAAGAAGCCGATTTTTCAAGGTCTCACCCGTTCGAGTTTGACACTCCATATTTCTGGCTGTAGTGCATGTGTGGAGAAGTCACAAAATGAAACGTTTCTAACATTGAACTTAATTTTTCAGATTGTTTTATTGACATCTACACTTCCATACCAACAGAATAACGATGACATGAAATCCACAAATTAGTTGCTCATAAATAAACTGCAGGCCTACAAATTCTATGACAAAGCTATACAGCAGTAGTAGGGGAGGGGAAGGGGGATTACGTGACACCTCGACCTCGGGGAGTAGTCCTCCCCAGCGCCTCGACCCAAATTTTCCTCGGTGCTGGGGAGGACTACTCCCTGTGGCTACAGTGCCATAGAACCCCCACCTCCCCTACTACACGTAGGCCCTATTTACAAGAAGGATCGAAACCTTGTGCTTGAAGTGCACATCCAACTGTCGACCATTCGTGGCAGAAGTAGAAACATTGTATTTCAAGCACATCCAACGGAAACCGGCTCTAAAACACATACTGTTCCAACAGACGCCTCCAGAGAAAAGAAATAACCCTGTTACAGATATACAATTTGCACAGTATATAATGTCTATCTCAAACCAACCCTCGAATGAGCTCGCAAAGAACTTTCAGGAGGATGTGGGACCATTTCTACAGGCTTCAGTTGAAAATAACTTGTATAAACCAATACTCGAAAAAGAAAAATGAGGTCTTCTTATTGACTTTTTTTATGAAATGATGGGAAAGAATGTGATTGGAAAAGAAGACTTAGTGCAAAACGCTTTATGATATGCTTGATGACATGGAAGAGTTGGAACTGATTGGTGATGTGGGGGTGGGGTTGTTTGACATGTTGGCACAGAGCTAAACTGCGGAGGAGAGTGAAGGGGAAGAGGTAGTCTCTTCGTTAACAGAGGAGGAAAAAGAAAAACTGTCCCCTTTAAAAACTCAAATGGAAGAAATGGTGAGAAGGGCTGCACGTCTCAAAAAAGATATTCAAGAAAGGATGAGAAAACGCTAACAAAAGCGCATTCGTTAAAAATTTTCGGTCAGGCAGGCGGTCCACAGCGAACACCGACGCAGCTCAAGGGCAGTCACAAAACAAAGAAGTGTGTGACTTTCCTAAGCGACCCTGAAATTCCCATGCGACCAGAAAAAATGTTTGAGCAAAAGTTTTCTAGTGAAAAACTTGAAATCGGCTCGCATCGGAAAGCAGGGTCGCTCCAAAATGTAAATTATTGTTTGGCTTCACAAGAGAACAAAAATAGGATTTCATCATCAGCGGCCTTTTTTTTTTTTTTTCTTATTTTTGAATGTTTCCAATTAATTGTTTTATTCCTAAAGGCTTTCATTCCTGAACTCTTAACTTTAAAAAGTTAAGCTAAACATCAAACATAACCATACAAATTATTTCGTAATCGGGAATACCCCGACACATCGTAAATATGTTGTTCCGCAAGGATATTTTGGCTTACATCATCCGCGGGACTTTCCCTTTTGACATTTGCGTCTCTGAAAAAAAACTGCGCTTGAGCAAGCCAATTGTGCCGTTTTAGAAACGATTGCCAAATAGAATCACTTTCCGATGTTTCACCAGAGGTTACTTAATCAATAATTTTCGTCCGAATCGGCAAATTCATTTACAGCGTGGTAAACCACAACAACCTCCTCAATCAATAAAATATCAAGAGCAAGACCTTTGCGTTGTAAAAAAATATTTGACCCTTATGAGCAGGTAATAATTTTTTTTTTGTTTTTGTTTTTTGCTTTTCTCTGTATCTCCCATTAGTGCTTGTAAAAAAAAACCATTTTCTTTGATCAAGCCGCATTTTGGACAAAACATTTCAACTTCACAAGGGGCAATTCGCATTTTCGCACCGCAAACGTGGCGCATTTAATAATTCGGGAAAAGGCGTTTTGCTTTCTTTGCACATTTCTGGCTGAAGGAGAATATATTGTCTTCTTTTCTCATAAAGAACTCTCTGCAGAAGGAAACCTTTTCGCTTCCTCCAGCGCCAGCTGGCAGTACCTGCGGTATTGTGTTACTATTGTATGTGTGTTCGCATCGCGTCCATCTTGTTGAGCGAACGATTTTTTGTTATTAAAGCTGTTAGACTTACTTAGTTTTGACGTTCCTGTTTCTTCAACATTAGAAACCTTAAGCATCAGGTTTTTCGTGGAAAACCGCAAACCGCAAACCACAAAATGTCCCGTGACCAAGGTCTTGCGGTCGCTTTTGCAGTTTGCAGTTCACGTTTGAACGGCAGGAAGGGCTTCCAGCGTTGAGTGACTTACGTCAAGGTTTTTTGCCACAAAAAATTGAACGGCCTCGCGTTTAAAGGCACGAAATAGCTTTTTATATCCGTCTGCGATGTGTTTGTTGGATTTTTGATCTCGAATCATAACCTTTGAGTACATCAACCTTTCGTTCTTTGTCACAGACTCGTAACAGCTAACGCTGATGTCGCACGATACAATAAACCTCAGCCATCGCTTAAGCTTGATGTGGACACCACCCTACGCACCATCGTCACCTGGCGTTACATGACCAAAACAGATCTCACCCGTGCTTCTACCAGATCCCCCTCTCTAAGTCTTCTCTGAAGTACTACGGTATAGCCACACCCTTCCGAAGAATTCGCGTCTACATATGATCAGCTATGGGAATGCCTGGGTCCGAAACTGTTCTTGAAGAAATGATGTGTTGCGTTCTCGGTGACTTTATTGAGGAAGGCTTCCTGGTTAAACTTGCAGATGTGCTCTACTGTGGTGGCGATACCCCTGCAGCTGTCCTGAACAACTGACGACGCGTACTCCGGGCCCTTTATCGTTGCAACCTTCGCTTATCTCCCAAAAGACTGTCATTTGTCCCAAGACCACCTCCATCCTAGGCTGGATACGGTCCCAAGGCAGGTTATCAGCTAACTCGCATCGTATCGCCGCCTTGGTATCGTGTCCTCCTCTTCCAGCGGTCCTCAGTCGTGTGCTTCTCAACTGCTCAAACATCATTGATCCCCTTGAGTGCGCCCTCACTGGTCTTCAGTGTACAGAGAGATTTAAGTCCGTGCAGGATTTATTATCTAACCACAAAGGCATAGTTATCCCTCGCCCCTCAGACACCCTCTGGATAGAAACGGATGGATCTGTTACCAGAAGAGGCCTCAGTGCCACATTGTACGTCTCACGTACCAATTGACTCCACTTAGCTGGCTTCTCCAGTGCCAAATTGCGAAAACACTTGACTTTCGTGCGAAGCAGAACCACTGTCATTTGCTGCGCCCGTAAATCATTTCGCCCCATTTATTATTCAGTCTCAGCATCTAACGACCAGCAAGGCGATCGGTATGGTCGTCAAAGTGGACGACGTGGAAGCTCTGCAAAAGGAGATATGGTACTTCGCTGCGACCGTCTGCTGGCGGGTGCCAACGCTGCTCTGATCACATCCAAGCACGACGATTTTAAGAAAGAACCTGAAAAGGAACTACAAAGGAGCCTGTCCAAGAACCTTGCAATGAAGCTGACCAAGAACCTGCAAATAGACTGCAAAAACTTTCATCTTATCATATACAACATGGCTGAGAAATCCGATGCACCTGCGGAGGCGCCTGATGAAGCTCCAGAGCAAGTTTTGCCAAAAGTCCTCAAAACAAACTTCGAAAAAACCCTGGGAGAGTTGCGACTGGAAAAAAGTTAGCTGAGCGTACCGGCGTGGCACGTGAGGCCAAAAAAAAAAAAACAGAAAACATCAGAAGCTCCCTCTGAGCAAAAAGAGAGCGGCAGCGGCGGAGCCAACGAATATTTGCTTCTTGGAATAGAAGGCCTGTCTATCTCCGCTCTGGGCGTTTATTATCAGCGAAAGGCGAAACCCGGCTCCCAGCGAAACTGGGGCACCTGAGCCTTAGCAAAAGCCACGTCGCAATCTTCGCTCCGTGGATTGAAATTCTTTTACATAATATATACAACCATGCTCAAGAGCATGATTGAAAAAGCTGTTCTCGGGACCCCAACGCTTTATGGTCTATGGAGCTTTTATAATAATATCTTATTCTTAATCAATGAACAATTTTTACGTTGGGCGCCATCGAAGAGATGTTTCGACCTCTTCGCGTTGACAAAAAAAATGAAAAGCAGCCCCTTTCGGCCGAACGCATACAGGCGCCTGGCATGTGAGGAGGAGGAGGAGGAGGAGGAGGTGGAGGAGGAAGAATAATTTTTCGCACAAATATATACAACCATATCCGACAACGAGCTCGTCAAAACTGTTCTCGACGCTGCAACTCTTACCGGCCTGGCTGCCGCCATCGGCTGACAAAAATCAAAGAAAACTTCACTGCCGACCGCAGCAGCAATGCAATGAGCTACGTGAAGTTCACCATCGTGATCTGAAACAATATCTCGAGGATCAAAGACTCCTCTCTCGACAAAGCTCTAGAAGCTTACCAGGCTTCTTATGCTAAATATGAAAAAGAACAAACAAAGTTGCTAGACTGGATCGGATGCCAGGGCGGAAACAAAGAACTGACCGAACAAAACTTAACGAACACCGACTAAGCCTTCAAACTCTACAACCGGGTGCACGACGATGAGCCCAGCGGTCTGCAAAAACAAGGCAAGTTAATTTTTGTTGGCACCGGCGCTCTTGCGCTCAGATACGCTGCCTTTCGATTTTTATAAATAGTTAGCGTCAAGGAAATCCTCATAAAGAATTTGTTCATTAACCCCCCCCGCCCCCGTGGTCCATTTCTTTAAATTTTTGTGCCACTAGCTTGCATTTATTAAAGTTACCTTCAATTTCATCCTATTCTTTTTTGAATTCACCCTCTCAATCGTTGTCGGTGAAAAACCTGTGTCCTCGTATTCCAGCTTGGCGAGCACTATTTCCATTTGGAATTGCACAATGAGACGAGCAAAACGTGCGCTTTGCCATGCTTCTGGCAAAATTACACACAGAAAACCAGAAAGTTTCCCGCCTTTCAGGCCATCGATGACTTCTTTCTATTGTTTCCGCCACTTTTTTGTAAACCAAGATTTTTTCTTGCATTTTCGGTGGCAGCGTGTCCCACTGACTCCCCATTTCCATTTTTTACATATGTTCAATATAGAAATGACCGATCCTCTGACTCTGGATATCTTCACAGTGCTTAAGGTCTGCTGGATAACCGCCCTTGCGGCTGTGATTGTCTCGATTAAGCCTCAAGACATTGTTTCTTTTGCCGCATACTCCTTGTGTATTTTGAAACCAGCAAGATCGTTAGAAAGCAGTGTGCAACCGGCAAACAGAGGACTCGCAATCAGCTTGCGAATCTTTTCCCTTTCATCACTGCGAACTATTTTGATGTTAACGCGATCCTGCATGTTCTTCATCGTTTTCCCGAACACGGAGTTGTTCATGAGTTTGTAGAAGTTCTTCTCGAATTCGCTTTTGGCCAGCTTCCGGAATTCTGTGTTCATCTTTCTTGTCTTGTGGCAACTAAATAATAACTTATAGCACTATCAAAATGAATGAAATCCGGACAACATAAACCGATACCTTTCTTGACTTCGACGTTTTGCTTCTTTAAAGAAAATCCTTTGGTAAGACACAGAAGACATGACAGTTACTACTTACAAAAGCGCAAGATTGCCTTCGATTTGCTAGTATGCTAGAACAGCAAAAACGACCTCGTGCGTTGCAACCAAATATAGTAATCGTTGTATGCCAGATAACATATTACTTATATTAACTCGAAACCAGCTTCCCTCGGTTGTAAGGGAAGGAACGGAGGCAGGAGCCACGGTGATGGAACAAGGAGTAAACTTGTTGGCCAGTTTCCCTGTATCGTCGCCTTTTTTTCTCACTACGGAATATGCAGACGTCCTCGAAAACACATTAATTTCGCAGGAAAGCCTGTTCTAAAAATAATTCTTTACGGGAATGGGTTGACTCGAGGGTACAGCACACATGGATGCTCCAAGTAATCGGCTCCTGCTCCGACCCATTTTCGATGTAGGTCTCAATTTTGTTGTTGACTTCGTTCATGAAGTCCATCACGTTTTTCCTGATTTCGTTTCGGTTTTCGTTTTGAAAAACGCGTGCCTCATTTTTTAATGTAATGATCAAATGCGGTCATCTCCAATTCTTCATTCTTTTCTTATAATTTCACTGTAACTGAAAAATACTACCTTTATCATACCCAGCGACTCCATTTCATTTCTCAAGACATTGACGAACCCATTTTCGTTTATTGCAGCAAAAACAAAAATATCTTTGTTCTCTCCGTTTGGAGCGTCTATTTACCATACATGTAGCTATTCTCCACAATCTGTTCTGGCCTGCCAAAAATAGATCCTTGCAGGTTAGAGAGGGCTGGGGAGGTTTTCCCCGTCAACTGGGCCGTAAAACATGTCCAGAACATTGTTCTGAAAGCGTTCGGCAGCCAACAAATATATGTACTGTGACAATTGTATATCTCTAACTGGGTTATTTCTCTTATATTGAGGCGTCTATGGTAACAGTATGTGTTTTCGAGCCGGTTTCCGTAGGATGTGCTTGAAACATAATATTTCTACTTCTGCTTCTAACGGCTGACAGCTGCATGTGCGCTTCAAACACAAGGTTTCGATCCGGTTTTCGGGTACGGACAACACAGCGTCACACGTACAGTCAACGAAGTCACACACGCAGTCAACGCACACGTGCAGTCAACGCACAGTCAACACGGTGTTACACACGGTCAACGCACCGTTACACACAACCAGTGTGCTGTTTCACTTAGAGTAATATGGGAGGTGGGGGTTGTGAGGCACATCGTCGTCGGGGAATAGTCTTTCCCAGCGCCGAGGAATATGTGTCACAGAACCCCTACCTCCCCTACCACCACAGCTAATAAGATCATATTTTTGGGGAAGAGAGAATACAGTAAGGACAGGTTCTGTATCAAGTGACTGGGTTGTGGTGAAGAGAGGATGTCCACAGGGGTTTTGACTTCTTATGTGGAATTTTTTTTCCAGAACAGAATATCAGATGCCAACGTTTCGATGTATGCGGATGATCATCAGGTCTTTGTAGCAAGTTTATTAGCCCCGGCTATTTCGTGCTAACCCTCATAAAATAAAGTCTTTACTATTTCTATTACTGAAGGAAACAACGAAGAGCGTGGATAAGATACTGGTGGACAACGGCGAGACTGGATGACTAAATGATATCAAGATAATCTTTTAATAGTCAACTGCGATAAATGTCAAGCCGTGGTTTTGGAAAATCCAAAAGAAAAAAGGAACGTTGATCCGGATATATGTGACAAAAAAGTGGAACAGATAACATACGGTCGAAACAAACAAAAAGCATGCAGGAGGTTAAATTTTATGTTAATAAGTAACACATATTACCCTAAACGAGTAAACTTTTAAACAACAGCCTTTTACGCAGCCAAGCACTATGATTAACTATAGATTTGATTTTATTTCAGCAACTTAGAAATTCTCAATGACTTCGAAATTTTACTAAAACGCTAAGCAATGATTAAGCTCCTTAACAATGACTTCTTCACTCACTTAATCTGAACATTTTCCTGATTGTCGCTTGTAGGAAAACAATGTGCTGCCGTTAGAACCCACTGAGACGAGATGAGAGCACCGCCACACTTAAGAAGCGAACCACCTAGAAAATAAAAGAAGCCCAAAACAAGTGTCAAGGGACCAGGGTCTTACACATCCCAGGACAATGGACCATTTGACTTGGTAGTTCGCGGTTTCAAATTGTCGTACACGTTTTGACCGTGTTTTGCGGTACAGCTGTGTTTCTGGCGATATTTCTGTGTCTAAAGGAAAAGTCAAACATGGAAAAAGATCTTCATATCTTTAAAAGACCCACGTGCGTACTAAAACACCAAATGTACTTAGCTATCTCGCTAGACGTGTATATAAGCAAACACATCTTTGTCAAACATTCACGCATTATATGCATTACATCAAACAACATTTCCATGGTCTATACTTGCAAATAGACTACAGCTCTTGACCATGAGCACGAGAAATCGCTCAATTATTATAAAAAAAATGTTCAGTATGTTTGCTTTCTTAGAACGTAAATTTCTCTGAAGTTAAAAAAATACATCTCAAAACGTATACAAGAACATTCGAAAGCATAAACTAGAAATCTAGTGGATTCCATGATCAGAACCTGTCAGTACTCTGCATTGAGCGACAGGTGTATTGGACTAAACAGTAAGAAAAGGAAAAGCCTTTTTTGTTTTAGGTTTGTGACTTTCCTTTGTTGAGGGAATATTGAGAATATTGGACACAGCATGTTTTTAGCATCAGTGTTATACTGCATGCAATGGTGTCTTGTCTTTGCGTTTGACGAGGACTTTATCAACACTCTTGTTGGAAACACATTCTACTTTTACTAGTATATTACATACCGCCTCGGGGTATGTGTAATCCTATTTGCCAGGGCCACCATCCATGCTTTGCATCTTTTCCACCAACGATAGAATCTCTAGAATGGAATGGACTTTCACCACAAATGGAGTAATCTTAAAAAGCAAAATAATAATCCATTAATCAATTAATTAATTACGAACCCCACCTCTTTTTTAAATAATGTTTATAAATAACATTGGAGTGGAAGTATTTCATCGTGGATCAAAATTTACTTACCCACATGAGCGGAAGATGTAGGTTGCATAAAGAAATATAGTAGGATGTTTTCCCACGGGTAACTGAGGCCCCGTGATAGTACAACATTACGAATCCTTCTTTAAAGTTACAGTGTTCTTATGGGGTAAAGTTACGTTCCTAAAATGTGTGGGAAATGATAAATAAAAGTCAATGTAACTTTTTCTGCAGTTAATTGTTGGTGTTCCTAAAGCTCAAGCGAATTTCCGTGACGATATGCTCAAATTCTCGGCCATCATACAAGAAGACAGACATGGTAGCACTTCTAGTTACCCGGGAGTAAATGTTATCACTCCCAACGATTAAAAAAAACTGAGGGTGGAACGTGTTGCTTAATTTGTGAAAATTCGGCGATTACATCAGCTGCAATATTTTTTTCCCTAATTTTGCCGGCTGCACCGGCTCGTTTTGCTTTGGCGGTTTGCGATTGGCTGATGTGAACGATAGCCCTTTGTTGTGTCTACTTATTGTTACAAAAAAAACCTGCCTAGAGAGGAAAAACCTAGTTAGGACAGTTACCTTTTTTGAAAGTCACAGCTTTCTTTACAGCTCTCTTAAGATCGCCGTACGTGCGTACCATGATCACATGATCGTCGTCTTCGTTAGCTGACGCAATGTCCATAAGCTCAAGTCTATTTACGGCCTCTCCAACGCCTTTAAAACGTAAAAAACGAAAAAACGAAAAAGAAAAGAAAAACGGGTAGGTTTTATTGACTAGAGTGGCCTTCTTTCCATTCACTAACGCTACCGCTGACAAATGACGTTAGGAATCATCATCATCATCATTATTAGTATTATTTAGCTAAGCTGTGGATTGACTAAAAAGTCTAACATGAATGTACCGATTTCGAAACGAATTCTTTAAAAACCGGTCGGGCTACAATGCTATTTTTTTTAAGCGGGAGGAGAAATGCTGCTACAGGACCGTACAGCTCTGTTATTCTGCGACACATTTTAACCACGTGGCGCATAGTGCTAAACATCCCGTGTCAACCGGGCTGTGTTGTTTGCCGAGTTTTCTGATAACACGGAGTCCATTATATTGTCTCCTGAAAGATTAGCCATCATCGAAGATTTTAATATTCATGTGGACGCACCTCGTGACTTAGACGCAAGAAAGCTACTACCAA